GCTTGTACCTGCATTCATTAGTGTCAGCTCATTGGTTTCAAGCAGGATTGAACCATAGGTTCCTCTGAAAGCTTGCTGCTCCTCTAATCCACTCAGCTGCAAAAAAATATAGCACCAGCCCCCACTGGGTACAAATCTCCATGACTTCGTTGACTCCAATCAACACATCAGCTGGGTACCCAGACCACCATTTTTTTTAGGCCAGAAAGTATAAAGCAATTAGGAGAGAATTGCCACATTTAAAAAATACTTAAAGATAAGACATTCTAACCTCTTCTGCTGTCCCCTTTCTCTTCCACCATCTTTATACTGTTAGATCAGACTTGCTATTTAGCTGATACCAGATCTTTAGCCACTTCTTTCTCACAGGGTCTCAAGCACAAATACCTGTTTTATTTAAAAAAAATGCCAGTGCCCTCAATGCTAGGATTATTGGTTCTTCTTCAGACTTTGTGCATTGAATGAAAAGGAGTCTCAAATAGGATGGTTTGGGATTTGCAAGACCGAATTTTAACTGAGAAGGATTAGCCAAAACCAAGACAGTTCAGTTTCTGTTCATCCTTCATCTTAAGGAAAAGAGAGATTTGAGGTTTCACCTCAAACACAATGAGCAATAAAAGGAACAAAGTATGCAAGGTCTGGCTACAACAAGTGGAATTTCACCCAAACAGTTTTTCCATCTAAGATGGAAAACTCCTGCTCTAGAAGGACTAGTTTTTTGATTAGTACAAAATCAAGGGCAACTCCAAGGAAAAAAAAGATTAGAATGCAAGAAGTGATTCATGTTTACCCCAAAATCGACTTTGCAATATTTAAGATATGCATCTAAATTCAGGCGCCTCTGGAGGAGACCATAGTTCCTGTTAAACTAGACCCTATAATACTTTGCAACAGTAAACACGTTTCATTTTGAAATTAAATCATTGCGTTGTGCGGTATTGTGCCACTCTGAAACAATCTCAAGCAATATTTCTGAACCTCTAGTCTCCAAGGTACAGCTTTGCAGATAGGGCACATAAAGCTATGACAGCGCTCTTACTGTGAATAAATAATAGCAGCTATATCAAGAAAACAATATCAGCCTACACACCGCTTGATAAATATCCCCTATTAAGAAGCACCAGCATTTTACAAACACACTAGATAACTGAAAGCGATCGCACCATAATCCATTTCAATTCACATTGAAAGCGGTTTTTTTCTCTTTCAAGAGATTTCTTCCACAAGTGAATAGTCATCAGTAAAGTTACATCTCCCTATGAAAAAATGAGACATATATCAGCTGAACTCCCTCAAGCAGGATTATTGCATTGTGTTTTCAAAACTATTACAAATCCCGAGCCACGGTCGCTGCCCCTTGCTCCCTCACATTGTGCCAGCACTGCACCCGAGCTCAGCAGGTGCCTTCGTCCCAGGGCAGACCAGGGCTCCGTTGCCCAGCCAGGAATCCCTAGCTCTTCGCAGCTTTCATATGGAGGATTTGGTTGTCTAACTCAGGGTGCTGGTTTGTTTTCGCCAGCAAGGCAACCAAATCTTTTTGTCGATTTAGCCTTAAACATCCTAATTAAACAAACAGCTGCCTTTTATGGCTTTATGTCAGCCCAGAATAATTTTGCTTAGTTACTGAAAACAGGTGCTCTTCTGATTAGCCGAGCATTTATTTGCTCTTATAGCTGTGTCAACCTGCTTCATTGTGATACAAACAGGAGACGTTTAGTCTTAAAAAGTAAAACTGTACTAAGTAGCAGCAGAAGTGAAATGGAAGAAATATTTTGGCATCGGGAGTGATGGTACATAATGAGACAAAGTACACCCTCAGTCAGTTCATTCACGGTTATTCTGACATGGCATGAAAAATGAGGAAAGCCGTATAAAAAGTTGCTGAAAGTTGTTGCAGCCAAACCCTTCACCAAAGCACCCCAGAGCAGTTCTACCAAACGGGCATTTTGCAACGGAAAGCGGCTTTGCGTGAAGCTTTCCAGGTGAAGCATCTCACGGAGGCTGCCAGGAGCGGGCAGGAAAGGGTGAAGCCTGGCGCGGCAGCAGGGGAAGGCAGATCTGCCAAAGGCTGCTGATTTGCAGCATGTCGGCTTGGCGGGACAGCAGCTCTGCACGTTTCTTTCATTTCAGCCCTCCTACGGATCTGCTGCGCTTAAAGCTCTGAAACCTTTTGAGTAGGAAAGTTTCATATGGTCTTTAAAAGATAGAAAAAGACTACAGAGGCGTCAGCCCCACGAGGCTCAGCTTGTAGACGGAGGAAGTGTGGGCATTTGTTTGTGCTGAAATTTTTGACTAATTTGGGGCAATTTATGAACCCAGCTGTAGACTGATCTGATTAAAGGTACTTGGACTGACAAATAACAATGATTTGGCCAAGATACTGAAGCAGAAAAATCAATAATGTAGAGAAGCAGTATTTTTCAGACATTATTAGATAAAGATAACTCCTTCTCTACAAAGAAACATTTCATATTTTTCTAAATCACCCCTCACTATGCTATGCTGTTTAGTCACATAGACTAAACTTCACAAGATTCTTGTTTAACGTGTTTGAATTAAGTTTGAAAAAAAAAAACTAGAGTGCTTTCAAAGTAAATACGGAGTGCACGTAAACGCACTTTAAATTAAACTGAAGTACCACTGACAAGGCTAAAGCCCCTAAAGACACTTATGCACATGGAGCTGTATGTTATTTCAGCAGCCTGTCCTGCTCGCTTCTCTCCCTTCTCCAAATGGGATTCAAGCAGAAATCCATTACACCAGTATTAAGTTAATGATAAAAAATGACCTTTACAGAGTAGCTTTGGCAGACTGCAGGCACAGCCCTGCCGTATCCATTACAGGGGTTCACAAATCGCTGGAGCTGCGTCTGCGAGCATCCCGCCGTCCTTCCCCAGGGTCTGCCGGCCCAGGCTCTTTGTGCAGCATGAATTGTGCCCAACTGCTGCTATTGTGCCCAACTGCTGCTATTAATCTGCTCTCAGAGCACCTCTGCCGGATTTAAGCAGTCCAAAGACTCTTAATCTGACTCTCTCCTCCACGGGTATATTATACCCAGAGACTTTTGTAAGGAAGCAACAGCTTTTTTTGTTTCCAATTAAAACCTTTCAGAGCCAGCCCAGACAATGATTCATTTACAAGTGAATCCTGCTCCCTTCCAGTCTGCACAGCATTACCAACTCCTCTTTTCCACAGAGGGCCAAGCAATTTATGGAGAGGTTTAGATCTCAGCAGATTCTTGAGAGACCCCAGATTTTGTGCATTTTTCTTAAGAACATCCATAGAGATTATTTATTCAAAAAGTATGAGAAACTTCAGTAGGAGAACAGAAAATTGCTAGTCAGATGTCCATATACCACCATCTGTTACAGGGACCATATGTGAAGCAGC